CCACACGAGGGGGCGGGGCTGAGGGCTGAGCCGCGGACGGCCGGGGCTCAGGGGTCCTGGCCGGCCTCCTCCTGCCTGCACGCCCCTCTCCCGTTCCGCACAGCTGCCATCCTCGGCGCGCCTGCCCAAGCGGTGGGCGGCTCAGGGCCCCCGGCCACTCACCTATGGCGGTCCGCGCTGCGGCGACGATGACCACGGGGTCCGAACCTGCGCTCATCCTGCCCACGACGCCCCCCCTGCTGCTGCCGGCACAGAGCTGCCCACGACTGAGGCTGAGCTTTGCCCGCTGCTCCCAGGCCGTGCGGGGGGCGGAGCCGGGCGCCGCCCCGCCCCCGCCGCCTCCTCGCGGCTCACAGTGCGCAGGCGCGAGGCTGGGCCGTGATTGGTCCCCGGGCGAGGGCGCGCGTCCGAGGGGGAGGGCTGCGGGCCACGGGGCGCGGCGCAGTCACACACCTCTTCAGACCCTATCTGGCCCCCTCAGTGTCGTCGCTCTCTCGACGTTTTGGGATTTTTTTTGTTTCCTGGTTTTGGGGTTTTTTTAGCTTAGGGTTTTTTCGAAACATTATGAGTGTCAGTGACGGAGGAGTATCTCGCGTTCATCCCAGGACTTGAATCCCACTGGCGACAGTGTCAGGTGGAAATCCTGCGGCTGCAGGACCGAGGACAATTCCGACGGGCCTTTTGCGCTCCGGCTTTGGAAGTTCCTTGCGTTTCCCGGGGCGCCGTGACCACCCGCCCATGTCAGCGCTTCGCTGGGCTCTGCACGCAGCGAGACCCGGCAGCACTGGGCGCGCTCTCCCGGCGCTGGCACCGCTTGCCTCCCTCTCCTGCGAGCTCAGCTCCACTGGCAGGATGAGTCACAGGTGCCTTCGGTTGACAGTTTGGACAGTGAAAGGCGAGGAACTTGTAATAAGTTGGGTCACTATAGAGGATTCTTAAAGCAAATGTACTTCACAGGGCCTGGTTTTCCAAAGCCTTGCAGTTTCAAATATTGACTTTGCTGAGGACTGGAAATTTTCCTCAGGCTATAAAGTCTCTGGTGTAAGATAAGGATTTGTGGCACAGCAGGTTGCTGGCTCAAGGACAGACTAGTTACTAATTAATGTGTAAAGATACTGGAAAATTGCTGCAAGAAGGAATGTTTGCTAAGATAAAGCTTTCGTTAATGGATCATTTAATTGTCTAATGGGAATGTCATCTGGCTTGTTTCACTGAAAGTTACCAGCCTATACTGTTAAACTATAAACCCACCTATGTTCTCTTCCTGTCACTTCCTGGTCTGGAAAATAAATGCAGGAAGAGAACCCCAATTCGGGGTTAATTTCCCAAGGAAGGGATGCCTCTTGCTTGAGGATTCCAGGGAAGTTAACCACTTCAGGGCTTCTCACTGCTGAGAAAAGATGGGCTCTGAGTAATCCTTTGTGGCTCTGTCACGCAGGGGCACTGGGGTGGCAAATCCGTGGGGGGGCAAAGCAACAGGTCACGTCTGTTTAAAACCCTTTAAGACTTGCTGTCCTCTATCGGCAAAGTTTGCTCAATAGGGGACAGGAAATGGTACAGGGTTTTATCTTTCTGACCTTTCTAGAAACCTCTTCACCTGGCGCCAATTACTTTTCCAGCCTCAGCTCTGGCTATTTCCCACTTAACACACTCCCACAGTCTAGCTGCCTGGGCTCCTGCTGTGCTGAAAGAACACCCATCCTGTTCATTACTCGCACCTTGCTCAGCCTGGGGAGAATTCCACCTACTCTCCCTGATGGAAGGTGGAATCCTCTTGTCTGGGGAAAAGTCCTGTCTTTTGTAATAACTTTCCCCTTTTCCCCTCCCTCCCATTCTCTCTTCTCTGCACTCCCCCTCGCATATAGTATACAACTCTGCTGTATCACTTTTTATACTGTAGTAATTAGATGTTCACATTTCAAACAACCCTCTACCCCAACCCACACTATGAGCCCATTATTCCCACATTGAGGTCTTGTTTTGTCTTATTTTCTCTACCATCTAGAACAGTGTCTGATACTCAGTGGGTACTTAATGCTTTTCAAATAAATGTTAATGAATTTTCGTGATTATCACCTAAAAGCTTTCCTTAACCATTCCTAGGGGCTGTATGAAGCCCCATCTAGAAAGGTTAAAAGTCAACCACAGATATGGAGACTTGCAAATATGTGAATAATAATTAACAGAGAACAATCATAAGTTGGCAATATCAAGTAGGTATGTTTGAATAAAAGGAAAAGGTTATAGTGGGGTAATCAGTGATGGCTGGCATTTAATATCTGTTTACAGTGGACGTGATATGTTTCACCTCTTTCCATCAGTCCAGTTAGAGTGACTGATTCCCAACATCCATCTTACTCTAAGCGATTAGTCTTAGACCTGGCCAATGGTTGAAGAGTGGACATGTGACCCAATCTTGGCCACAAAAATGTGAACAGAAGTTTGCTAGGTGGTTCTAGGAGAGGTATTCTCAGTTCTAAGAGAGACAAAGAAGAAATGGGATCCTTTACCCTTGGGGTGTTGTGGTGTTTGAATGTGAGGCCAGTAAGCACTGCAGCCACCTTTGACCATGAGGGGAGCCTGCACAACTGCAAGGCCACACACTGAGGAAAGCACAGGAGAGAGAGAAAGAACCAAGGACTTTAAGGACACCTTTGAGGCTAACCCTAGAATCTACTAAACCTATGGCCTTCCAATTATATGAGACAAATTTTCCTTATTGTTCAAGCCAGCTTCTTAGGTAAGCTATTACATGTGGCTGAAAGCATCCTGGTACATCCAAGCAGACAAGTACATTTCTTCCTCTTATTTAAGAGGATGAAAGGAGACAGAATAACACAGCAACAAAGGGCGTTGGCTCTTGGAATCAGACTTGGTTCAGCTGCCAGTTTTGAAGTGGACATTATCGAGGGAACTTTAATGATAAAGGACAGCTCCGACACTTACTAACTCTTTAATTAAAGTTACTATCCTTTTTCTTTCAGCAGAAACTATACAAAGAATAAAAATTCATTATTTGGGGTAGTTTGACAAAGGGAGATTGTCTGTCACCAGGACTGAAACTTCAAGATAATAGTAATGACTAAGATTTACTGAGCAGTCACTGTGTTTGGCACTTGCTATGAACTAAATATTTGTGTCCCCCCAATCTCGTATGTTGAAGCCCTGATTCCCAATGTAATGTTATTAGGAGATGGGACATTTGGGAGGTAATTTAGGTCATGAGAGTGGAGCCCTCATGAATAGGATTGGTGCCTGTGATATTATATGTATACAAGGGTGGAATACAAATTTGTGGAAAAACAAAGGATAACATGAATCTTGCATGAACATTTTGAAGTACCCTTGTATATACTGGTTTTCATCCATGGTTCCTGGCTCCCCAAGGCTTCCCCTGCCTTTCTGTCTTGGAGCTTGCTGTAAAGAAGTCCTCTGAACCTACCTTGTCTGATTATAGGTCTTAAGACCCCTATTTCAAGAGGGTTCCTGCCCTCTACCCAGGAGGAAGGAAGGCTGCACAGGGAGGCCAAGAAAAATCTGAACAAAGAAGACTTGCTGGGTGTCCCCAGTCTATTAGTGTTAGATCATACCCTTTTGGTCCAATCACATTTCTACATGGTTGTCCATGCTTCAGTCATGTCTATGTAAAGAAGCTTCCATAAAAACCCAAAAGGACAGTGTTCAGAGAGCTTCCGTATAGCCGAACACTTGGAGGTTCCTGGAGGATGGCATACCCAGGGAGGACATAGAAGCTCGGTGCCCCTTCCCCGCACCTTGCCCTATGCACCTGTATCCTTTGTAATAACCTTTATAATAAACCAGTAAATGTTTCCCTGAGTTCTGTGAGCTGTTCTAGCAAATTAATCAAACCCAAGGAGGGGGTCATGGAAACCTTGAGTTATAGCCAGTCGTTCAGAAGCACAGGTTAAAAACCTGGGCTTGCCATTAGCATCAATATGGGGGGTATGGGGGGCAGGCAGTTTTATGGACTGAGCCCTTAACCTGTGGATCTGAGGCTATCTCCAGGTAGACAGTGTCCAAATTGAACTGGAGGGCACCCAGCTGGTGTCCACTGCAGAATTGCTTGCTTGCTGGTGCATAGGGAAAAAAGCCCCACACATTTGGTCCCTGAAGTCTTCTGTGTTGATCTATGTTGATTGTTGCTGAGTAAGAGTACAGGAAAAACACTTTGGTTTATTTATATATACAGTGCCCTCATAAGAGACATGAGATCTCTGCCATGTGAGGATACAGCAAGAAGCCCTCTGCAAGCTAGGAAGAGATCCCTCACCAGCACCCTGATCTGACTTCCCAGCCTCCAGGCTGGGAGAAATAAATGTCTGTTGTTTAAACCACCAGTCTATGGTATTCTTGTTATAACAGCCAGAGCTAAGACAGCGTTATAAGCACTTTACATGTGTAAACTCATTTAATGCTTTTATAAGGAAAAAACTGTGCCACAGAGAGGTTAAGTAGTTTGGCCAACTTTGTAACAGATATGTGGTAATGTGAAGATTCAAACCCATTAGCTCCAGAAGCCACTCCCTCAACTTGGATATGGTTTATGACCTCTCCTATCCTAGTCATATCAGCAAAAAAAGCATCCATTTTCAGAAATGAGGAACATTGACTATGAGTAATCGTTAAGTCTTCTCCAAGTTATTCATCAAGGTGGATACAACAGAAACGTGAAAACTGGTAATGTCACATGAAGAGACCTATAAATTTAGTCAAATTATGTAAGTGGTTGAAAAATTAATTTCCTTTCACATATCAATGATTACATAATACCACCAGGACAAAGAAATTCCATTTTTGTTTAAATTAGGTGAGTTAAAATGACACACACAACAAAAACCAAAGTCCACAGCATTTAATAAATCAAGGGGATATTTTAGTACATGCCAAAATGTTTATCATATGTAATTTAAAATTGTGAAGAATTTATTCACCAGCAGACTGCACAAAAGGTTAATCATAGGACGGTGCAGAATTTTTCATATACCACTGAAGACCACAGATATATGTGTATGTCAGCTAAACAAGCAGAAACACAGCAGTTATTTTCAAATAAATTGTACCTCAGTTTCAAGTCTTACAAATAACTCCACTTCTGAGGTTCCTTGGCAATATAAACATTCCTTGTAATATAATGTCTAAAACAACTATTTTGCTTTTAGCAGAAATGACATGTTTCCTCTCAACCACACATGAAAAGCTATAGAATCTAAAACCATACAATAACATAGAACTTGACATTTAATATTTAATTATGTCAGAGAAAATGGAGCAAACTTTGACAGTCAGTCTTATACCTTAAAAAGATTTTCTCCTACATTCTAACACCCCCTAGGCTTACTGATTTAATATTAGCAGATATGTTAATAAAAATCAGTAGTACCGGCCAATGTTTTAAAGCAACCATTACTGATGACATAATACCCCAATTACCCAAAATCAGGTCACGAAAATGAACTCTGCTTTTCAATTCGATCCTTACGAAAACTTAGGTGACTATTCTTTTCTGCATTTTCAAATATTTTATAACAATTATTTTTATTAAATTTGGAAAAAGTGTAGTCCTAAACTCCAACTTCATCTTGCAAAACAAGGCATGAATGAAATTTTAAAATTATGTACACAATCAGAATCAATGTATCTACTTTAGTTTACCCTTGTGGTATGTTGAAGGATAATGAGTAGAAATTTAGCACCTCAATGAAAATAAATACAAATGCTAAACACACTCAAAACAAAACAAAAAACTAATAAGTTACAATAAAAATCTTTATTTAGGTTTGGTCAGTACAGGTAAGATATATTGGAGTCACAGAGCAATATGCAGTAACAGGATACAACAGTTCGTAAAAACTGAGTAACTACGCACACAAATTTCTTAAACGTTCAGTCACCTAAAGAGAAAATGCACAGATGTATGGTGGAAAAAACTGTATCTAACACTGAAACTACTATTAGGACTCCATCAACAAGTCCAACTTTTAGTGATAAAAACTACTGCACTGGGCAATCTTGGCAGTCATAAACCCACATCTACTCTAACAAGTCTGAATGGTGCATAAGTATAATAACAGCATGAGTTAAGAATGCCCTTACACAGCACAGGCTCTAGATAGACACAGATTTATATAGACGTCATTATGTTATACTTTAAGGAAAGATTTCCATTTACAAGTTCACATTAACTCATATAAAAATAACTTGACCCTACACAAAAATGTCCTTTTAGCAACATCCAAAGTAATTAACTGTTACAATTTCCAAAGTGGTAGAGGTATCAAAGCAGAAAACAAAACAAAACAAAAACCCAAACAAAACCAAACAAAAAACCAAAAACACACACCACAAAAAGGCAAATTGTGACAAAAGTATGCATTAATTCTCTGGACAGTATCCTCTCCCAAATTAAATGACACTGTATAAAAATTTTCTGGAAAAATATTACAAAACTGAACCCTGTACGTTTACACTTGAGTCCAAGCCATTCTGAACATGGCGGGAACCCACAGTTCGGTTACCTTTCCCACTCACTGCTTTCTCCTCTTGAGGGTCATGATTGGAGTCTGTGTCATTTGAGTGGTGTGTGAGAGAGTTTTCACTGCCCGTGGGAGAGTCTACACTTTCATACCCCGCACTGAGTTGGTTTACGTAACTACTACCTCCTCTGCCAGTTCTCTCCTCTGAGCTGTTGGAGGCCTTATTACCATTCCCTGGAGAAGAAGGAAAGTCATCTTCAGTTGTGTTCCCCTCCCTGTGAAATCCAGACCCAGACGTCCTCTGACGAGAGGAGCTGCCATTACTTGGTCCATTTGACAGACGACTGCAGTCTTTACTTGTGGCCTCTGCCTGTTCTACAGGTTCAGAAGATGTAGTCCTGCTGGTACCTGGGGCTGAAGCTTGAGACTGCTGCTGTTGGTACTGAGCCAACTGCTGGCGCGTCTCCTTTAGCTGTTGCTGAAGAACTAGAATGGTACTCTGCATACCCTCTACTTCTTCATCGAGTTGAATGATGAAGTCATTCAGTTCTGTGCAAAGGAGAGTCAAACCTACTTTAATATCTCTTATAATAACTGAAAATATTTCGTAAGTGCCTGCTACAAAGCCAGGCAGTCAGTAAATATTTAAGTGAATAAATACAATACTAAAATCACAACAGAATACTTAAAAATTTTGCTTGGAATTTTAAAATAGCCATTCAAGAATGAATTTGTTTTGGGAAGTTGGATGCTTAAGATAATCACAGAAAATAATTCTTGAAGATTGTTAAAATACGTATATCCATTAAATTCTAAAAAGGCTTTAGGAAAAAAAGAGATTTTATATAGCAGCGAAGGCCTATTTACGTATTTACAAGTAGTAAGAGATAGGAACCATCACTACAAAAAAGTAATTTAAAAAATATTATTACTTTAGGGCCAGCCTGTGGCTCATTCGGTAGAGTGTGGTGCTGATAACACCAAGGCCACAGGTTTGGATCCTATATAGGGATGGCCAGTTCGCTCACTGGCTGAGCATGGTGCTGACAAGACCAAGCCAAGAGTTAAGGCTCATTCGGTAGAGTGTGGTGCTGATAACACCAAGGCCACAGGTTTGGATCCTATATAGGGATGGCCAGTTCGCTCACTGGCTGAGCATGGTGCTGACAAGACCAAGCCAAGAGTTAAGATCCCCTTACCAGTCATCTTTAAAAGAAAAAAAAAAAAAATTATTACTTGGCCGGGCCAGCCCCCACCCCCAAAAGGTATTATTACTTGGCTATTGATCTTCTTTGCAATTAACCATCAGATATAATTCTCAATTTAAATTACAAAGCGTCTGGATATTTTCCTTACTACTAATAACCCCAACAAAGAGAAAAAACAGCACAGATGCAGCTACACGTGCACAAAAAAGGATGGAGACTGACAATTAAGTTTGGTTTGTTTTTACATAATTTTCAGACCACTGGAAAAATGTCAAATGTTTCCAAGATTTATACTTAAAAGAAATGGTTAAGTAATGATATACTCCATTTCAGGCACTGAATATAAATTTGTAAATCTTAGTAATACAACACCCTTTTTATCTTTCACCAAACACTGCTCCCCTAAAACCAAAAACTTATAAAATATGCACAATAAACAATTGAAAAGTGGGGGGACAAACACAGTAAAATTAAATGGCTTTGTTCGCTGACTCAACTACAAATGTTTCATTCATAATTTTATATAACCACAGGCAGAGATTAGCATGTACAGAATCTAACCTATAATATTCACGCCTGGCAGTTTTTTAAAGCCAGTGCAGTTAAGCAAACTTTTCAAAAAAATCCCTTACCATCCTGACTGCTTTTAAGCTCCTCACTATATTTCTTCTGTAAAGCCAACTCTGCTTCAAGTTGTGCAATACGTCCCTGGGACAGCTGCCTTCCAAGTTCTTGATTCTCCTGGATAAGCATTCGACACTTCGCCATTAACTTTTTGCCTGTTTGGCTGCAAAGGAAAGATCCATCCATCACAAAATGAAGACAAAACTCTCTATAACCTTCTTTGCTTACAATTATTACAGTGATAAATGTAACACATACAGAACATAACTATGTCACAGCAGATACCGCCCTATAATTACCATCTTCTTTTCAGGAACATATCCATCTTCTGCATTTCAGTAATTTGCCAATACAGCAGCAAAAATAAACCTTAAACAAAAAGTGCCCAAATGGCCACTTCTTGTTCCTATTACATCAATAATTGACTCTGAAATCTATTTTCATCCCAAATTATTTGAAATAGAAACAGGCCAATTAATTAACAAACACCTTGGATACACCAATATTAATACAACACTAAGGTACTTAAACTTTATCAAACAAAAAACTGCTTGAAAAGGTACATGCAACATCACAAATATATGCTTCTTTAAAATAACTAATATATATGAAAACCAGTACCTATAAGTAAGTGAATGAGAACATATTTATTCTTGCAAGAAAAACATTTAATAAGGAATCCTGTTAATAGGCAATTCTCTGGAACATCCATCTTCCATACCCTCCCAGGAACAAACTTATCTATTGCATTAAGTGAAGCACATTCAGTAATAAGTTTTTTTAAAAAGCCTTAAGAGTCTTTCTACTTATCAATCCCTCAATTAACTTCTTCATGTGATACATATACTTCTGAGCTGTCAAACTGGGACATTAGTTGTTTTTAAATTTAATACTGATATGTGATTTAAGACTTTAAAAGATCATCCTTGCAACACAAAGGTCAGGGATTACTTATAACAAATAATGCAAACATGAAAATATCTGCCAAATTAGGAGTGCCACACTTCCAAATGAGTGCAAATGCTAGTGTAACATACTTAAAACCTATATGCACATACACAGCAATTGCAAAAATGTAATCAAAAGCCCAAATTAGTTTCTCAATAAAACTTTATTGCTTTTCTTTAGCCTCAGCAATAAACAGTAGAAACTATCGTCTTTAGAGACCTGACTTAAGTATATAATTGTGATATTACCTTTGATGCTTTAATAGGTACACTGACATTCTTGTCACTGAGTCAAATCCAATAATCTTATTGTTAAAAACATTTTTTTCATTCTAGTCTTTCTTTCTGTGGGCTTTCACTTGCCTGATATATTACTTCAGAATGTATTTGATCTTCTATCAAGCCTTAGAAACTTTAAAAATGGGAGCACTGTGTAAATAATCCTCTTTCTTTGAAGTACTGTTGCAAGGTTTTTTTTTAATCTATAGCATGTGTTCCAACCTAATGTAATTCAAGAAAGTCTGTAATTACATTTCCTTATAGAAATCTGTGGAACAGTAAAACCTGGGTTACTAATGTTCAAAGGAGCCCAAGGGGAAAGCCATGAATAAGTGAGTGGTAACTTTATTAGCTGGTGTTATTGTTCATTGCTACTATAGCTCCAGATTTCCCCCAATTTCCACAAGCACCCTCAGACTTTAGCCTCCACTGAACAAGCAATTATACCATCAAACAATGAGGAAATAAGAGATAAATGCTAGTATAAAAGAGGAATTCCTTCCGCTTTACTGCTTATGTTCCCACAACTTTGTTTTCTCACAAAAGTATATAGCATCAGTGTTTTCCAACTAAGCTGAAAATTCTCTCCTTTTATATGAATTTAATAAAGACTAGAAAAAAGCAACTGTAAAATGTTAATTTGTGACCTGACAACATAAAACTGTCACAAATTCTAATGCAAAAATAGGTTCACTTAAGAAGTCATAACTTTTTTATTAATAAATGACTGTTCTTAGATAATCCCATCACTTCTAAAATTAGTGATAACTAAAAGAAGTCTTTACAAAACCACTGCTCTTTAAACATTCTGTAATTTACCTTTTTTTGGCAGCTGGCCAGTAAGGGGATCCGAACCCTTGACCTTGGTGTTATAACACCATGCTCTAACCAACTGAGCTAACCAGCCAACCCCAAACCACTGTTCTTTAAATGTTCTGTGATTTTATGTCATTTTATTAACTACGTTTCATAACATTTGCATGTGCTAATCATATCACAAAAAAAGACGAGAATTTAATTACAACTGTTTTGGGGATAACTTTTTAAAACTACAAATAAAAAATCCATCCCATTCCTAAAAGTGAATAACCCACAAAGCAAATATAGCAGGAAATACTTTAAGAGAAGGACTTATAAAAAGGAATGAACATTGTACACTGCTTTAATTATCAAGGGGAAGAGAGCCAGGCTATTTGGAGAGATGTATCCACAATTACCTAATGATTAAATGCAAACTCAAAACTGCCAATATACTGAAACATATTCCTCTAAACACTTTAAAATATAAGTGTTGTCACAAAGTTAAAGTATTTTAATCAGTAGTGAGGTTAACCATTTTTTCAAACATATATATTAGCTAAATTTTTCTATTTTTTTCCTTTGTGAACTATTTCCTTTGCCCGTTTATTTTCTGTTAATTTATATGAACATTTTATTCAGATATTAAAACTTTATGCAAGTATTGTTCTGTTTTAAAAAAACAAAAATAATAAAACAAAATATTTTAAGTGGACAAAATGATTTAGAGAATCTTTCCCCCTCAAAATTAAAACTCAGAAAAACAGGAACGCAAAAAACATACACACAACACAAAACCAATTCTATTTCAATTATTCCAGATTGAGCATTATTTGTTTCAAATAAATAATGAATTTATAGCACCTGACATACTCTGGTTTATAGACTAATTTTACAGAACAAAAATCCATTCATAGGTGATTAAAATAAATTATGTCTCATTAATATAATGGAAATATTATATAACCATTAAAAATGCAGCAGTCTAGAGATACTAAAATATGGAAAAAAGCCCAAGAGATAGTGATAAAAACAAGCACATTTGTTTAAAACCAATATACATAAAATTACTGTATATGCACAGAAATTATCTTGATAATACCCAAGAAATTTAACAGTAATTACTGCTCATAAAGAATAGAACAGGGAAAGTTAAGGTCACATCCAGGAGTGACACTCACTTTTCATTTCCACCTTCCTCCACACTGTTTCCATTTTATACATGAGTATGTATTACCATATTAATTAAAAGAGAAAATTTTAACAATAACAAGGAAAAAAAACCCATAGAACTCAAAGTAACTGTTACCTAAGCAGTAAAAAAAAGATGTTGGCTAAATTTGAGTGCACGTCAATAATACATTTTACGAACTACTTCTTGACCTGCTAAAAATATCTAACGGCATATCTACTGTGATTTTAAATGACATAAAATATATACAAAAGCCTTAATACAGGCACAATACGTTAACTTCAAACAGATTCAGTTACTTACCCTTCAACCCCCACAAATAGCAAGAATTTTAGAAGCAGATTTCTTGCTGAAAAGTTACACAAATCACTTCTTCAACCCACCCTCTGCCCCACAATCAGTTCCCTAAAGCACAAAAGTACAAGATACTTACAATTGATCTGAATGATTAAGAGAGAACTTAAGTCACCCTTCTTAAAACTGCACTTAAACGGTGGAACAAGCTGGAACCATTTATCTTCCACTCATCTTAGACTCCATTATCACCAAGTGAAAAATTCGAATTGGTGAGTTATACAATGATCTGACGAAAAAAATTCACCTCCAGGATTGGATGGATGCATGAAGAAAATAATGCCTCATTTATCTAAATGACCAAATGAATTTACTAGAAATGATCACTATACCGTTTTTCAATTCACAAAATGTCTCACTTAGGCCAGCCCGCAGTTCCAACACATTATTTCCCCAGTCTTTTGGCAGGTACCCTGTAAAGCTGTCCCACATTAATTTCTACTGCAATATTCTGGGACAAAGTATCAAAAAGTAACAAGTGTCAAGTCTCCTTGTTTTTTATTCCAACTGGAATAAAGCAGGTCTTTTAAAAATTAAACACAGAGCCTTTTCCTTCACTTTGAAGAGCACAGCAACAATTTTTCCAAAATCAATCTGCTCTCCATAACCCCCCAAAATTAAAATGTTGAGAGTACAACAAAATCATGACAGTATTACTTGAACTTAAGACAAAAAAAAAAAAAACCCAACTATTTCAAGGCACATTTAATTTAATATCAAGAGTGTAATACAAAAGGCCCAAATACAATGAAGGAACACATTCCCTCATTAACACCAACGACAATGCTCTTTTAACATGTGCCTGTTGAATGGAATGAGGATTTCATTTCACTACTGAAAAAAATAACACGATGAGTCTCACAACCAATATCCTTATACAATCTAGTTGTGAAATGAATGTTTATAATGTTTCAAACAGTTTTAAACCTGAAGTTTGATACCACACCTTCATGTTTGTACAATCCTCAGTCAGATTATCTACAGTTTTTGCAACCATTCAAACAAACCATTGATTAAAACCACATTGATTTAAGGCTCAATCAAGTAACAGAGAGCCCCAAACTAAATGGTAAAATATATGCACCTCTTGTACTGACATCTATTATTTGATTCTCTCATGACTATTAAAAATTGGTTCTTAGCAAATAAACCCTTTAAAGGCAAAATTCACCTCATTTGAGTTTTGACCCAGAAGTTCAACAACAATCACGAAGTCCACAGTCTTATTGGCAAAACTGATATACAGTGTCTCTAAGTCACTATGCTCATGGTTAAGAGCGATGCATTTTCCATTTTTACATTTTACTGGAATTTTACATGTTCAATTCATGATTTAAAATCTCTAGGTTTTCATTCCTCCAAACTGTCTGAAGACACAGTGTGCCACAGACTTAAGACTTGTTTCTCCCTCTATTTTCTTCAAACAGAAACATTTCTCAAGTGTCTACATGTTCTAGAAGGGGAATTTTTCGGAGGTGGCCACTTCTTCGGAATAGTCCGACGGCATCAGGCCTCTGAAGCAAGGGGAAGGGGAAGAGAAAAAAGCTGAAACACAAGGTTCATCGGGTAAGTTTTACATTAACCATTACAAGCTGAACAGTTAAGAATGTAGCTTTTTTTTTTTTTTTTTTTTGCTCAAAAAGTCTGAGTCTTGGTGTGGAAACGAGTACTTGGCTGTCCCACCACAGCTTTCTCGTAGTGGGACTGTCAGGGAAGTCTTGACTGGGGAGTATGATTTGTTTACCTATCAGGCGTAAACTTCCAGGCACTCAGTTCATTTTGGGCTTGTTCCAGTTTGTCTTTAGTCTGTTCCAGTTCACCTTTCATTTTTAGGAAAAACAAGTTGATCGCTGGATCCACCATTGTTGATCTCAGTTGGGCAACGCTCGGCTGCTGGACTTGCTTGAGGTACTGGATTTGAGTCTGTGCAAAACAAAAGAACAATTACCACCAGATCAAAGGAAACATATATAAGAAGGTAGGGTGAACCCGCTTTCATTCACACTTGATTTACCAACTCCTTCATAAGCCTCTCCCGCTTTGATCATAAAATTCTCTAGAAAAAGTACAAATTCAAAACAACTATTTAAAGTTATTTATGTAGGAATTGAGGCCATGTGATTGCACTTCCATACTTAGGAACTTTAAATAAAGCAGTTACATCTTACTTTGCAATCAAAACAGAAATAAAAAAAAAAAAAAACGTTACATGTTGTATGTACTACAAATGCTGACACCCAGTGGGAAAAAGCAAAGTTTAAAATATTAATTACATAAGTCGGTGGAGTCTTTTTACTCGTTTTAATTTTTGCCTATAGAAATTATTCTATGTAAAAGTCCCCTAAAAATGCACCAGGTACAAGTTTATAACTCAAAACACATTTGCATTTCTAAATCAAAAGATACACATTACTTATATATACATGAGTTGGCATTACAGCTTTGTAAAAGCAAAACTCTATAGTTCCTTAAGCTAAAATAAAGTATATATTCATTTTTTTTCCTTCTGTGTAGACTTGAATCATAGTATTGTAAAGGTGACAGGTAACTGACCTAGTCCAAGCTGCTTATTTTTGAGAGACTAAATAAGCCAACTGAATTGTTCAAGGATACAATCAGTTCACCACCAGAACTAGGACTAGAAATCTAGTTCTCAGGCCTCCTGACTCCCAGTCCAGAGCTTTTTTTCACCATACCAGAACCCCTCTACTTACATATGAAAACTTCAATTTCGACTTCAGTTGTACTACTTACTAGCACACTAAAAATATATTTCTAAAATATGAAATACAGTTATTAGCATTAAATTCATCACTTTCTCCACATCCAAAGATCTTACTCCACACTAAGGCTTAAACAGGATTAAAGTTAAAATTTCCTACCATAAATTTAGTAAAAGACACAGATATATTGAGTGGGAATATATTTAATTATTATTGCATTGAACAAAGAAAAATAATCTTTACTTAACATTTGGATATTTTAAAAAGTAAACTCATTTTAAACAAAAATGTACAACTGCTTATTCAACGTAAGGCCAGCGGCTACAATATGATGTTTATTGATCTATTTTTTGGCGGCTAAGCTAATTTAAAACAGGAAGAATAAAGCATGTCTTATAGTGTATGCCATGTGCTTACATCATTAATTAAAACACATTCTCTACAACACTGACTTGGACTCAGTTATCATTTAGGTTTAAAAAGTCCCAACAGTCAATACCTTCAGTCATGAAAAAAGAGGCAAATCTGACTAAGATAAATTCCATGTGCTAGGAAAGGAGAACAATAAGTGTTTTAAAAGTCAGTTTTATTACTAAAGCTATTTTTAGTTGACTGGCAAAAGATTAAATGAAAAAGAGGAATACCAGTGAGGAGCACAAAAATAATAGACTCATTTATTAACTAAGAGTAAAACAAGTATTATAAAAAGCCAAGAACAATTAACTATTTCTTTGGCTAACTTCTGTCTTACACTCAAAAGTACTTAAATAAATGGACTACTGATAGACTCTGCAAAGACTGCATGTAGATAAAGAAGACATAAAGAACTACATAATTAAAAGATGAAAGATGGTTCATTCCCAGCACCAAAAAAAAAAAGAAGATTAAAGAGATGAGTGAGTATGCTGGGCAAATAGAAGACCAATAGAAAGAGAACAGATTTTTGAAGATGTATTTTATTTTTTCTATGCTTAGCTTAATTTGAAACACTGAAGGTAAAAGTAGCAGCTCTTTTTAAAACGGTAGATATCTAATACAGTCCTTACCACTTTTCTTCCATCATCAAGAGGGTAACCCCCCCATGCTCAAGGGTCAATCCCTTCAACGAGGCATTTGTTTAACCTATTCCCTCCTGCCTCCTCTGGTACCTTACTCCCACATCCTTCTGTATTTCTAAACTCCCATTTGACAGTTCCCCTAGAGCCTACATATTTTCCAAAGTGGCTCACCTTAAAAAAAAACTCTCTCAATCTTGCCTAATTATCACCCAGTAACTCCCAGTGTCAACCAAACCTCATTAAAAAAAAATCTTAGCCATGTTTCTATTTGATATATCACCTCTTACTGAAATCATTGCAATCTTGTTTCTGCCTCAACCCTCAACTGAAACAGGTTTCACTAAAGTGGCCAATAGCTTCCTAACTGCCAAATCCAATGAGCAATTTAAAATTCCTATTTTACTGAACCTGACTTTGCTTTTGATGCTATTAATCACTTTCTTTACCTTTTAGGGGAGGGAAACTTCGCATTTCCATAGTTTTCTTAACATAATACCCTATTCGGGAGCAACACCGAGGGTTGCGATCCCGTGGCCGGTCCCGGTCCGGTACGGGCGCGACACTGAGGGTTGCGATCCGTTGCCGGTCACGAAAAAAGACAAAAAAAAAAAAAGTCTTCACTACAGGCTGGCCGGTTAGCTCAGCTGATTAGAGCACAGCCCTGTAACCCCAAAGTCATAGGTTTGGATCCCCATACTGCCAGCTGCTCCCCCAAAAAAATATCTTCACTGTCTCCCTCTCACCCAGAATAATATCCAAGATCCCATGCCCCGACCCTAACCTGCTCTTTTCACCCTCACCTAAAACTTCAACCTCATCTGCCACATATAATCCTGCTCTTTCCTTGTGCTTTTGCTCTTGCTGTCCTGGTGCAGGGGAGAGCTGTAAAAACAATATGGCTAGAAAAGGTTAGGTTTTAGTTGAAATAACCTTAAAACCCAGGTTGAGAAGACAAAGGGTGATAGGGCACCACCAAAAACTTTGACCAGGCATGATATGATCAAAACTGCCAGTGTATATAGCCTGGAGAATCAGAGGTGAGTCAACAGCACATACTCTCTAGGCAAGTAGTAAGAAGTATTTGAATTCTCATATTAAGAGTAGGAATCAGGAAGAGAGAAAGAATTCAAGACACTGCTGTTACAAGATATTAACAATGGTATCATCCACTAACAGTCCATCTCCCAGGTGTTAGCATTTTGAAAGTAAAATTCACTCTTTGCATAAAAGGGAAATTTATTAAAACATCCGTTAGTGACTGCGCGGAAAAAAAAATTATCAGTGGTAGTGAGGATGGAAACTAAACTGGTAGAAACAAAAGGAGAAAAAGTGGTGAGAAGGTAGAAAAAAATTATAAAGGCTACTCTTTTCTTTAGCAAAGTAACAGGTGAAGAAGTCATTTTGTAGAAGTGAAGGAAGAGGGAATAAGGACTTTTGTGGAAATGTGGACAATCTCTGCACAGAGAATAAAAGGACTGTGACTCAGCCCTAAGGAACATTCTTTTGGTGAGAGAACAGGAACATGACTGTGCCCACATATTTTTACTGTTGCCAGAATAATGCCTTACATATTAAAAGATTTTAATTAATATGTATTGAATAAATGGAGAGTACATAAAGAGCTGAAGAAACATTCAGATTTTAAAATGAGAAACAAGGATAGAGATGCCTCTAATTTTTTGTTATAATTTATATAAACAAACTTAAAAAAAAAAAGAAAGAAAAAACAAAAGAAATAGCTAAGACGTTTAAAGACAGAGCAAAACTGAGTCTTAATTACCAGAGCTGGATGATGAAGAATGTCCCTAGATTTCCGAATGATGTAAACATAGTAAATAGTACAAATGAAAGCTCCAACAATTAAAAAGGCAACATTGTAAAAAGTATTGACACCAGGGAAAATAGTTATATGCCCAAAGGAGTCAAGAGAGCAGTGGAATTAAAGCAATGAAGTGCAAATGCTCTGTTACTGAGTATACCCTCAGATAGCAAGCTCTCTGAAAAATACCTGAAATTGATATACTAATTCTCAACGAGCATGAAAATTTCAGAGAATAACTTAAAACTTTTGCTTTCTTGGCCGCAAAAATTTTTTAAAAATCTAAGTGAGATGCTATCTACCAAAATCTTACACTTAGCATATTTGCAACTCAAAGTGTATGTACTTTAACAAAATATGCACTTATATTTAGTATTAAGTATTTAAAATTAACATGTAAGAATGCAGATTAAAAACTAATTCCTTGGTTAGCTCAGTTGGTTAGAGCAGTGTCATAACACCAAGGTCAAGAGCTCAGATGTCATACCAGCCAGCCACCAAAAAAACCCCACAAACAATAAAACCCAAACAACAACAAAAAACCCCCAATTCCTCATCTAAAGATTTACACAATTTGAAATACTTACAGTACACTCTTGCATCTCTTGTTCCTTGGTTGCTAGCCGCATTACAAGGATGTTTTCCCTGCGTGCAGACTCCTGCTGTTGTTGCTTTAGTTTTTCCTCAGACTCTCTTAAGCCAGTAACATCATTAGCTGATGATTAAAAGAAAAAGAACATAAAACACTGAGTATAATTTCAAGATCAAACTGAACTAACCAAAAGAAAGTTCTAACAACTGGTAGAGAATAATAAAAACTAGGGTCAAAAAATTCATCAAGTCTTTAGTTTCTGTCCTATTTTATAACAGGGATATTTGTTGCTGATCACGAGAGCTCCTTCAGAAGGCAATGATGTTACAGTGCTTCACAACGTAATACTAGACTGAATTTTTTTATAGTATAATTTGTTCCTAACAGAATACGGGAAATTGCAATATCTGCTTACAGCATTCACAAAATCCCAGTTGGTATTTTTTAACCTATTCAATATAAAAATGCTGGGTTGGCCAGTTAGCTCACTTGGGGAGAGTGTGGTGCCAGTAACACCAAGGTCACAGGTTCAGATCCCCGTACCGACCAGCCGCAAAAAAATAAAAAAATATAAATATAAATATAAAAATGCTAATTACTGCATGGACAATTAATACTTCGAATTTTCATAATGTTCATAACTTCTATGGATTATAATATATATAGTCATGTATTTTTCAGGGTATTAAGCTTTCTGGACTTGAAAACCTATTTTGGTTTTTATACTCTCAAATAGTATGCTATTCTTACACAGTTGAAAAATGACAGACTAAAATGGTTTAACATTTATAAACTTTGTTGGTATATTTTTAGCTGATTTTGAAAAATCTATGGATATATAACCATATCCTAATGTTACAATTTAAGCTCTCTATCCAATTTTACAATTTAAGCTATCCGTTCCTTCTACATATTGTATCTCCCTTCTAGATAAGTAGCTCATGCTTCGATTCAAATTTCTATGTAGAAGGGGTTAGGAACAGACCAAGAAGTTTCCAGTAGTGTAAACTACCCTATCTACACTCTCTCAGAACCTTGCACATAATTTTGCTAGAACAGTCATGCCATTTTATGACTATTATATGTCTGTCATCCCCAATGACTTGGAAATCCTCAAGAAAGATCATGCCTCCTTCATCTTTATATTTCCTAGCACCCAACAGTGCCTGGACATAGATCTTATAATAAAATGCTTGAGTAAAAACTACATTTGCTTTACAAAACCAATTATCTCTTGTTTGTAACAACAATGTAAAAGGAGACTATTCACACAGTGTTCAGGAAACTATAGCTCAAACAAACTTACAGTTAAGATCTGTGTACTTGCCCTCCAAAGCTTGTACATATGCTTCATATTGTTTCCATCTAGAACAAAAATAAACCCATATATTTTAGTTGTTACACTGAAATTGCTTTTATTAAATAAACTAGGAAATCATATCCATAAACTCATAAATTTAAGAAATACTGAGAATTCTGTTGGATAATTTCTAATTTTGAGATAATTATAAATCCAATATAACCAATAATAAATTAATCCCTTCATATTCCTTCTCAATTTACAGCAAACAGGTAAAAGGAGATATATAGAGAAAAAGCAGTCTCTGCTGAGTGCATACCAAGCATTCTCCTCTGGGTGAGATCACACCCCAGATTCACTTCAGTGTCAATGATACTCAGGACAATGCCTGGATCACAGAAGCTGAATAAAAACCCTACTAATACTTTCAGATATGCTGTCCACCTCAAACAAAAGGCATATATGAAAAGGGCGTAATTATAGGGGACTGAAGGTTCTTTATCTTGGCTCTTTTATGAAAATACCATGTGATTTTCTCAAAGTAATATTAATTTTTGAGTTAAAAAAAAAGGGAGAGAAAATAATATTTTTCAAGACTATATTTTAAAAATCGGATCTAATTGGCAGTAACAACCTACAAAAATGTCAAATTCTATAAGGGTTTGAGGGGACCCTTTATTCTTCTTTATATTCCTCTCTCCTCAATATATAGGCTATTAGCTGCTCTTGGCAATTATTGCAGATAAATAATAAAGATTTTCCCAGGCTTATGTGTAAGCAACTCCCAATGGAGAGTACCCTGCCCTGAATGTCTACTACCTTGCTTACTTAAGAGCTATGTTTTCAAGCTGGTCTTCAGTTACAGCTAATTAAAACTTAATTTTAGAAAATCATTTTATAATCTTAAAAACAGGCTTGCTATGAGATTTATAAATGTTAAAATGTAACAAAAAAAATACTTCATAACACCAAGCTAATCCATCTTCTTTGTAAAGACTGTTATTCAGCCAAGGCCATGCTTATTTTGACTTCTAAACACAGGATATATACAAAAGTTCATCAAATGTTTGGGGATAAATGAAAACCTTTTGTGGAGGCTACATAAGAACTATTTACTTTAGAGAAACAGAAAAAATATAAAAGCTCAAGCAAGAACTGCCATATCAAGAGGACAGAAAGCAGATTAGTTAAATAAGTAGCAGTTAATTTAAAATCACTAAAGGAATTAAACAGAAAAAAACTCACCTAAAAATCTTAAATGAAAATTCCCTAAAGAAGTTAAAATGACCTCAAAGAAATAAACTGCACATGAATTAGATATCTTAAAGGTAACTTAATATAAAAAATTTCTGGGGCCGGCTGTGGCTGACTCGGGAGAGTGTGGTGCTGATAACACCAAGACCACAGGTTCGGATCCTATATAGGGATGGCCGGTTGGCTAACTGGCTGAACGTGGTGCTAACAACACCAAGCCAAGGGTTGAGATCCCCTTACTGGTCACCTTTATATAGGGAAGAAAAAAAAAATTTCTACTACTACTTTATTAAGACTATTAATGACTTTTTTTCCTCCTGCAGTTAAATCAAGAAGACGACGACACAGACTAACCAGAGGAATCATCTAAGAAGGGATTAAAGGCAAGGAGTGTACCAAATCAGAGGTACAAAAAGAACATCAACATGTGAGCAATAGAATATCACAAGGAGGTGTCTACCTCAGTGGGTGAGAACAAGAGTGTTTTAAAATACTAAGAATTTAAATTTTACGTGCAGGAAGATAAAGGTAAGCAATGGAAAACTGTCCTATGCATGAAATTATGGCAAAGGAAGATAAAGAGTTATATCTACAACAGAGTAGCTAAGGACAAGTAGAGGAGGGAAACTGTCAGACTCTAGAAAACAATAAAACATGTCATCTATGTCTCTATCTTACACACTTTCTCTCCCTCTTTCAGCCTGTTAAATTTGTTCAGTTCTTCAGATAAAAATTCCTTGAAATTTCTATAGAAACAGAGCTCAATAACCTTCCAATGGTTGTTTTGAAAAATATTCATTTTATCTAGAAGTTATCAAGTAAAACACTAACCATAGTAAATATATTTAAACTATAAAACAAAAAACATCTCATTTTTTGATTTCTTACATTGAAAAAAAATACTATAATACTCTACTTGACTACTTATGAAACAACCAAGAAATTGAGAACTGGAATCAACCTTTAAAAATAATTTAACCCAACCCCTTCAATTTACAGATGAGAAAAATAAAGGACATTAAGTTAAACAAGCTGGTCAAGGCTGCACTTATAAGAAAGAGCAACTTTGCTTCATTTGTAAATAATGTATTTCTTTCATAACTAGAAGCACATATTTTAAGATTACAATTTTCTCAAATGTTAAACACAAAAGAAAAAATTACATCAAAACAAGCATATTTGTTGAAACTGAAAGCTTCCTGAGAACAGGGTCTTTCCCCACAGCAAGTTACACATTAAATACAAATGCTTCCTAAGTAACAATTCTGAACATTTTGCCTCCTTGAGAAAAAAATTCAGATTACCTGTTAGTCTAGAAGTTACCCTAGCTCTCTAAAGTATTATGTTTTCCCCAGGGTTCATATAATGAAGAAAACAAACCATAGGAAATATGTTCAAAAAGTACATCAAATAATTTAATGTATTAATATTAAAAACAAAACATTTGTCATAAAGGCAAACATTATAGAGTCAGAATATAATATTTTTATTTTTTGGCAGCTGGCCGGTATAGGGATCCAAGTTATATTTCTGATAAAAGAATATTTTACCTTAGAATTAATTCATCTCGTGCCATAACTTTGAAGTCTGTTTCACTCAGTCGAACCTGTAAAGAGAATTAAAATATGAAACAAGTGCTCTTCCAAAAGACAAAGTGCTCCTCCCAAAGGAGCTCTGTACTGAGACTTAGGAACTATCTCTAAAGCCTGAGACTTAAATGGTTAAGAAAAAAATGTATTTTATTGTAAAGAAGTTTTAAAAAGGTGAACTGTTTGGTATCTTAACAATGGGCATTATGACTAGGGAAATGCAAATTAAAACTCTAATGAGGTATCAGTACAGTGATTAGAATGGCTAAAATAAAAAATAGTGGTAACCCTAAATGTTGGTGAAGATTCAGAGAAACTGAACATTCATACATTGCTGGTGAGAATGCAAATTGGTACCGTCACTCTGGAAAATAGTTTGGCAGTTCCGTTTAAAACTAAAAATGGATGTGCCACGTGACTCAGCAGTTGCACTCTTATTAAGCACATATCCCAAAGAAATGAAAACAAATTGTCCATAGCAGATTTACTGTAATAGCCCAAAACTGGGAAATACTCAAGTGTCCTTCAACAAGTGAATAGTTAAACTATGATATATCCACATCATGGAATACAGTTCAGCAATAAAAAAAAAAAAAAAAAAAACAGACCATCAATACGTGAAAACAACTCAGATTAACCTTAAGGAAATTATGCTAAGTAGAAAAAAAAAATCTCAAAAAGATACATACAGCATGATTTCATTTATATAACACTTGTGACATAATTATAGAAATGGAGAAGAGATTAGTCGCTGGCAGGGGATAGGGTCTTGGGGGGGCAGAGGGATACAGATTTGGCTATAAAGAGTAACACGAAGGAGCCTTGTGATGGTTCAGACACATCTTGATTGGTGGTAGTTACACAAAGCTGTAAGTGATAAAACTGCATAGAGCCACACACACACACACACACACACACACACACACACACACACACACACACACACACAGAGTGCACGTGTACTGGTGAAATCTGAATAAGCTCTGTGGATTGTACCAAAGTCAATTTCGTGGTTTTCATATTGTTATTCAAGATATTTGTTAGTTATGCAAGCTGTTAACAGTGAAGGAGGCTCTGTGAAGGATGCACAGAACTTCCCTGTACATTTCTTGCAAATTCCTATGAATCTATAATTATTCAAAATAAGTTTAAAAAAAGGAAAGGCATAAGCTGAAATTACTTCATATATTGAAAAATATTAAGTGTTTTCTCTATACCAAATGAGGACTATAAAGGTGAGGTATCTTTCCTACTTTAGTATAACATTAAGGTTTTATTAGTTTCTCAGATATTTAAAAAATTTTTTCCTTAAAAAAATGTTTAAAAATGTAATATTAGGGGCAGGCTGGTTAGCTCAGTTGTTTAGAGCACAGCCTTGTAACACCAAGGTCAAGGGTTCGGATCCCTGTACTGACAAGCTACCCTCCACACAGTCCCCCCCTCCAAAAAAAAGTAACATTAACAAGTAACATAGTAATATTATAAATGGAAGAGGGGGAAACCATTACACCAGAATATATTAAAAGACTACCAAAGGAAGTACAGAGTAATTCTCAGATTACTAAAGTGCAGTACAATTCTTTATTCATTTCATGAATTATTTAACCCTAAAACTTAAGGCACAAATTTCTATAACACATTATCAAAATCGTTCAATTAAATATTCATTGTTTAGTAAGCACATAACCCTGCTTTCCCAAGTGAATCACAAATTCCTCCTAAAAACTGTTATTTCTTTTGTAAACCCATTGCACGTGTGTGCACATGCATATACATACACACACAGTTTATGTAATGCTGACTAAATTAGGTAGGGATGTAGAACAGAGGAAAAGTCAGATTAGAAAATCAAAAAACATCAGAGGAAACAGTAGAATCTAAATACTAACTAGTTGTAACCTTTTCTTGAAAAATATAGAAGTAATTTAAAATTACAACCAAAGATATTTAAATTAGGAAAAAAGAAAGAATAACATACTTACAGAAACTTGTGAAGTAATCTCCTTTTTTGACATTATTTGTATATATGTAGTTGGAAATATTCATTTAATAAAGGGTAAGAGTAAACATGGGAATATCATAACAGAAGTTTTCCAAAAGCTGAGACTATTCTAAAAATATACTGCATGTAAGACAATATATAACATCTAGCACATTGTACATCCCCAACACTATTACTGTTACAAAAGCAAGGGGGTGAAAAATAAGGAAACTATACAGATAATCCCTTCAACTCCATCATTAAAAAAAAAAAAGTAGTGCTCAAAAACTGCAGGAAAAACATACCTTTTTGGGAAGAGGTTCTTCGTTGGTCATCTTGAATCCTAAAAGAAGGGTTGGGGAAAAGAGGTTCAATTGATTTTCTTCCAGTTAAGGCAGTAACACCAAATACTGGCTCTTTCAAACCAATTTACTAGTGACCTAACTTATGGTCAAATCATTAGATTATTTTTTTACTTACACTATTTTAGAATAGTTTTAGAGTTATAAAAAAGTTACAAAGATATTACAGACTTCCCATATACTCTACACTCACTTTCCCCTTTGTTAACATCATCCATTATGATGGTTATTAAAACTCTGAAGTATCACTATGCACCAATTAGAATGGCTAAAAAAAAAAAAAAAAAAAAAAAAAAAAAAAAACAGGGGTAACACCAAATGCTGACGAGGATTCAGAAAAATTGAACTTTCATACATCATTGGAGAGAATGCAAAATGGTACCACCACTCTGGAAAATAGTTTGGCAGTTCCTTTTAAAACTAAAAATGGATGTGCCATACAACCCAGCAGTTGCACTCTTAAGCACATATCCCAAAGAAATGAAATATTCTTTTTTTTTTTTTTTTTTTTTTTTTTTTTTTTTTTTTT